AGGCAGAGATACGTGGGATAGAAAACAGCCATTTTTCCCCTTCCTCTGTTGCTACAGGACCCTCTTATGGGAATCATAAGGATTCAGCAAACTCCCTCAAGCTGCTTTTTGTTTCTGCTAGAATGTCTGTAATATAAATAATTAATATCAACAAGTCAGATCTATGTAATTAATATGAAAACTTATTTAGCTAAGCTTATCTATAGTCCACACAGATATACCATGGGTTTGGAAGGAATCCCAGAATTCTTAGAAGGAAAAAAAATATTGTCTCAAAGGCTAAGCCAGATCTTTCTCAGCATGTCTTGCTTCCTCTTGGTGGAATACAGTTACGTCCCTTGCTCTGGTGGCCTTTAAGCAAGCGTAAAATCTGACTCACTATGACAATCTGTTCCATGAAGAGGATTCTTCCTCGTCTGCTGCATGGTCTCCAGTGGTAGTAAATATAACTGAGATATTTCTCATTTTTTCTGTGCTGGATTCTAACACAAGACCGTAGCTTGAACTTTACTGACACACTAGTCATTGCTGCACTGGAACACATACTGTTTCAACATCATGTAGAAATTAAAAGATAAGATAGTGTTAACAGATATTTTGGTGCAAAGACAGAAAAATCTGTGTTTATTCCAATATACTGCAACAAATTTAACTGCAACTATTAACTGACAGTGTTGCTTTTTTTTAAAGTTTTCATAAAAAGTATGTTCCTCTGACTAACACAATAAGGTTCATGAAGTATCTTATTGTCTGTTCTGACTAATCAATCTCATCAGCTACCAATCCTCATAACGCTATCCTTCCTATATTGAAATTTCCTCCTTAATTCAACAGCAGTTGACTAGTTGACTCCTGGTATCTACTATAATGAAAAATTAGGTCAGGAAAAAGCTGTTTTCTCTATTCCCTCCTCATTTTTTTGCCATTTCACTTCCTTGGAAATGTTGAGAGCTCTACTAACTTCCCAGTTTTTTGTGTCATAATCTTAAGGACAATTAACTTTCTACTATTTCTGTTAATGTTTCTTCTCCTCACTATATCCTGCTCCTCCTGCCCTGCTTCAAAAAAAAAAAAAAAAAAAGGAAAGAAAAGAAAAGAAAAGAAAAGAAAAGCAAGAAGAAAAGAAAGCAACAATAAACAAAAAGGCAAACTGACTGAGTGGGGATTCAGTTCTAGAAACAGGCATCCAGTATAATTTGGGATGTCCTCAGGTGTCCTGCCTGGCCTCTAATTGCAGGTCCTCTGTTAGGTCTGCTAGCCTGGTGTGGGTATCCCAGATACCTCAGATAGTCAAATGAAAAGACACTCAGGTTTAGACACCTAATCTCACTCTAAGTACCAGCCACAGCGTCTTAACAAGATCATGTGAAAAATATTGTTGTAGCAACCTCAGTTCTCACTGCTGTCAGGTCAGTATTACTATTACAGACAAAATTCCCACTCAAGGACCTCAAAGTTCAGGCTATTAAAACAACTTTGGTTTGGTGTTACTTCACAGAGATGGCATTTAAATTTTCTGATTCTCAAGACTTTGGATCATCTCTTCCATATTATAGTTTCTCCTGGAGTTGACAGAGCTTGAAAGGGGTGCTCAAACTGATGGTGCTAGCATTTATTAGCAGAAAAACACAATTTCCAAATCAACAAAACTGCAACTAATGAATTCTAGAAAAGGACATGTAGAATATGATGTTGAATGTCTATGAGTGAAAACCCATCATTTCTTTTTTGGAAGAGGATAAACAGATCAGGCTAAAACTAGACTGAATTTAGAGTCTGTACATGGATGTCTTCTTCGTGTTATAGGTTTAAAATTTGTTTCTAAAGTATAGGAGACTGGGAGATCCTGAAGAATCCAGTTAGGAAATGCTCTGTTCAAATTATAATACAGTAGAAGAAAAATAACATCATCCTAGCAACACTTAGCTCTCAAAATATAGAAGGCATCACTTCAACATTAGGTATGTCTACTCCCACACTGGAGACAACCTTTTCTAAAATTTCCTTCCATTCCTGGTATCAGACTTTCTCTTCCTGCAGATAGCTGCAGATCCCTGCCTCTGAATCTGATGCCAGAACACTCTCAGCAAAGCTAAACCTGCAGACACACTCACAGAAGAAAAGTGAAACCTTTGCAATTTAACACATTAATTTAGTAGGAGGTTTGACAATTATAAATTGACTAGTCTGAATTTTTTTGGTCTATCGATCCAGACCAGTGAGTGTCCACAGCGTGAGGAAAAGACTGCAGGCAAGGAAACCAATTTTCTTCTTCTCACAGATGAATATCCACTGTTCTGTATGTTACTCATGCAATAGATAAAGCACTACGAGAATCAGCTCAAAATCTTCAAACACCATGCAACTGAAATTCATTTAGGAGAACAAAAGTAAAAAAACTTTCTTAATACCTTACTTCTGTCATTTTTATTTCACTTGCTTGCATACTTTAGGTCAAAGGAATTTCAAAGGAACAAAATGCCCATCAACAACAAGAAGCATATCAGCCTTGTAGACCTAGAAGAAACTGCAAGTGTGAAGTGGCTGTACTACAAACCTCATTCTGCAATGTGCTATGCTCAAGGCTTTAATGCAGGTTATCACAGTTTACGCCACTCAAAAGGCTCTCAGTACATCTTAGGATGTTACATGGTGGAAATGATTCACTGAAAGATTCAACGGTCACAAGGTTCACAAATATCCGACTCCCTTTTCCTCAATCTGCAAACGCAGGGTAGATTGTAAAGAGCATTCCACCCCCTAAGAATTATTTCACATTATAAAGCAATCAAAAAGAAAAATACAAGCAAGGAGTCCAGATATTTATTTATGTGAAGGAGCTAAAAAAGCTGAAAAAGAACTCTGAGTCTGCAGAGCTTAGTTGAAAGGCCATTAGCATTACCTCAGTGAAATTATAACAACGCAGGTTATGGGGAGAATAATATCTGAATAAAATAAGATCTTACTTAAAAATAACAAAAAGGCAGCAAAGACTCAGATAAATAACTCCTAAGATCAAAAGACTGAACCGGCAGGAAAGATTTAAAATCTTACGTAAAGCTTCCAAGAAGAAATTGAATAATGCGATGAAAGGCTAGATAGAAATATTTGTGAAGGCTAAACTTATATTTAAGTATTTTCTGGTATTAGTAACACTACTAGAACCTCAGCACATTCTAAATTCAAATTTCCAGGCTGTTCGTGAATGTCCTGGTACAGCAGACTGCTGTAGGCAGTAAGAAACTGCATTTTATCACTAACAGTGGCACAGCCATGATGCTTCATCCTTTCTCACATTACAAAAGGATGATGGTATTTTCTAGTAACTATAACTGAGCATATTGCTTGCATTTAGAAAGAAAGGAGCATGACACCATATGAATACACCCACCCCACAAGAGGAAACAATGCAATAATCTGCCATGCTCTTGTGATGCCACTACTGAAAGCAGAATACAATATGCACTTGTTCTACTTTACGAGTAAGTCTGGATAGGAAAAATTGCTTCGTTGGCAGATGTACAAATGATATAATATTTCAGCTCTTATTTTGTTTTGAGCCACCAAGCTGTGATTCAGTCCGTCCGCTTGAAGTGCCGTTTGTCCACCTGAATGTCCGTGCGGAGAAAGTGAGCGACTCCTCTAGGGACAGGACCCATCATCAGAGGGGCCCTAACCTCAGGAGGAGAGGGAAGAGCAGGAACAGGCTGAGCTGCCGCCCCGGAAATGGAGTCAGGTCCAGCTCGGAAACAAGACTCAGATCCATGGAGCCCAGGGAACCTTTTAAAAACTTTACCAGTTCCTTGTTTCGATCAGCAAAAGTCAGTATCTGAACCAAGTTTCATCGCAGAAAGCTTTTTTTTAAATCTTAAATCTTAACCTTAAAGAGGATAGTCAAGTGAACTAAATTTTAAATAACGACTTTTGAAATTGGTTAACTAAGTAGATATTACCACTTCAAAGCAAGTTGAATAAGCTTGTGAAAAAATGACAGATTTAAAAATCAATTTGAAGGTAAGATAGCAATGCTTCAAAATCGTTACCAGGCTAGACAACAAAGCCAGACCGGGGAATTCACTTTACATGACACTATTCAAAGTGGATGGTAGAGGCAGAGAAAATCAGAGTAAGAGGTGTGGGGGCTTTATTGCGAATCTCTAGTAGTACCAAGTACTTGCAGGCCTTGAGGAGGTGTCTGCAAACTATTTCATAGACTAAAATTATAATAGGGAAATATATAATATTCATACATCAATTAAGTACTTGTTCTTACACTTGAGATCAACAAAAAATCTGACTGTTTTTGGTTTTTATTAGCTTAATGATAGCAGTAATTAGTCTCCAAGAAAAAATACATATCTTTAAAGTGTCAAAAGGTCATCACTTGCTTAGATACAGTTTTCTTGGAATTTCTTTAATTTTTAGACCACTCAGGAAAAATATTAATGAGATATATATGTTAACATATCAGTCAATATGCTCTTTTGGAACACATTGTTTTGAATTATGCCTCAGAAAATAGCTTCCTTGAACCTTATCATACTAAAAAAGACAGCTAGAAGCAAATGTTCATATTTATTACAAATGAAAATTAGAAAGAAATTGGCAGACATTATTAGAAAGCATATAGGAACAACAGGAAAATGAGATCTTTCCTCTGGAAGAAGAGCAAGCATGACATGAAGAGGACCCTAGGGAAGCCTTTCTGACTGCCCTTCCCCCCTGCTTGTTTTTTTGCAGTACCTCTTGAAGGTTACTGGACTGTCAAATGGGATATCGTCAATGGATGTGGCATTAGATGTTATGCCAGACCCATTCAAGAAAATGAAAGAGCAATGTACCTCTATGGACTTCCACCTCTGAGTGGACAAAGCATCAGCCCAGCAGGCTGAGAAGAATGTAGGCAGAACTGGAATGATTTGTTTGGGAAAAAGAGGTTTAGATTAATTATACCTATTGTACTCAAAAAAAAAAAAGGAATGTAAATAGACAATACTCACATCAGAGTTAAAGCGAAGCTGGCAGACATTACAGGAAATGACTTGTTTCTTCTTAGGGGGAATTGACACTCCAAATGTATGGTTTATTACTGCTTTTTGTACAGGATCCATCTGGAGAACAAACAATAATCAATTTACAACTTTGCAGGGCAATATACAGTACAGAAGAAAAATAAAAAATAACTCTTTCTACTGGAAGATTTTTCTTTTCTTTTCTTTACTTTTTTGAGATAAACAGGAGGAAATAAAATTTCAGCCTGCATAATAATTAGATTTAACACAGGTTAGGGAATTGGTAGCATGCCAGAGCTTATGAAGAAAAGGCAGCTCCACTGTTGCTGCCATCCCCAGGCTACTAAATAGTTCCTCCCCCAAGCCTGCACATCCTCCATGCTGCAGGGCCCTGCTATTGTATCTGGAGTGCAAAGAGCTCCCTGAAAGCCTTTCCCTGTCACCTGCTGATGCAACAGACACATTATGAGCAACCACTTCTGCACCCTAACAAATCATTGTATTTATCTCTACTTTCTTTTCTGTTCAGTGATAGATATTAGCACTTATTTGGAAAGTATTCTCTCCTGGAGACCTCTTTGCGAGAGGAGGTCCTTTGCAGGCTCCATTGGAAACATCACTTGCTGGGAAAAAAGGTCGCAATCCCCAAACATTTCCATGCAGAACTGATGAGTGACAGAGCCCATGGGAAGGCTGAAGTTCAGAGGAGCATACGGGCAGTGTTTGCACCGGGAAATGGTACTGAATTTCCCAGAAACATTTTGACGCTGTGAAAAATTTGAGATAAGTGAAGTGCCAAACATATTAATCCTAAATTTGACTGACCATTTTCAGGAACTGGCAATTGATTACATCTTCGCTAAATACCAGGACTCTGTTGGTCACCAGTTTAGAATATCCTCAAGACGACAGAGAGCTCTGTTGTTACCACTGCAGGAGCTGGGGAATGGCTGGGATGTTAAGGAAAAGAGTTTATAACTGCTATTGCATCGAGGCCTCAATTAAGCATAATATGTCATTTTTCCTGATGTGGTATGGATAGAGATAAAAATTAATTTCCCAACTCAGAAAGATTCAAACATATTTTTCTAACTCAAATAAAACAGAATATCAGCTCTGATCTCGCAGCTGACCCTGCTCTGAGCAGGGGGTTGGACCAGATGACCTCTGAGGTCCCTTTCAGCCCCCATTATCCTACGAGCATCTGCGCACATGTAGTCCTCCCTATCCTTATTTAAGAGGCGAAGTCAATTATGAAGAGGAGAGGGCAAAAAGTGGCAGTCTATAAGAAAAGATAAGTGCTCATTTCCCAATATTTTTTTTTTTAAACTAGTACAGGAGAAAACAGATCAATTCATTATAAAGTTATACTTTTCTGAAGCTTGCTTTGCAGTCACAGTGATGTTTTTTGCCTTTACAGTACTACTCGAAGAAACCAAACCTGGCTGTTTAATCTTTGATGGTACACATCACACATTTGATACTAAGTTCACTTACAAAAGGAAGAAAGAAAAGCTGAAGTTACTGATTCATTAGTTAAAGAATTGTAACAGTAAATAAGTTACTTCCAAACTTTCTAAACCTGAGGATAAAGATTGTAATTTTCCCTTAGTACACATTTAAGCTTCCAGAGAAACCTGCACTAATGAGGGTTTGCTCCACTTACATGCACATGTGCAAATACACAAATTCAAGAAAAACATATTGCATCATACCTGCCTAAGATGACATTCTCCGATAATCTATTACCAAACATTAAACACTTACTTAACAATTTTTTTGGATTATGGCTACACAGGTTTCTTGCTACAGCCCTTTTAAACCAAATGTATGGTTTTGTAAATGTCATTGCTAACAAATTTTCTGGAGACATGCTATAGTTTTTATCAGCTTTTGCCATTAAATACAGTATTTCATTGCCATAGGGGTACGTACCATATTAAGACAATTATGAAAGTAAAAATACCTCGTCTAAAATGAACTACTGAATTATAAATGACACTACAGTGTTGTTACAATGAATGTGATGAAGCCTAAAAAACCCCTAAAATAAGTATCTTTGTTTCTAAAATACAGTGACAGTCGAAAGTTTAAAAGCTTAGAAGAGAACAAACAAATTCTGTTTCTGACTTGTATCATTTATCACATCACCCTGCATAATATATCACAACAATACATGCAGATTAAAAGTTTTCTGAGCATCCATTTTATAACAGATCTGCCAGTCAATGTATATTATTACATTTATAGTACATATTAAAAGATTGCTGTATCATTAGGGAATAGGTGCACTTTTTCTCCCTTAAATGGAAGATACATTTTGCTTTGCAGCTTAACTACTAATTGTTAGATCAGGTAATCTAGAACCAGAGAGCAATGCTGAAAAGTACCTCAACCATTTGAAGTGTCTGAGATCGGTGCAAAAGAAATAGCAAAAATACCCACTAGTGTCTGCAGTTCTGTTTAAAAAAAATAAAAAGGCAAAAAAAGCAGCAGTGATCAATGATTCCTCTGTGCATTCCAGATAACAATCCACAGCACTAGCGTTAGGCAATGCAGTTCAAAACCGTACAATGCAGACTACGCACAAAGTCCCAGCTTCAAACAGATGTAGCAGCACAAGGACAAACTCTCCCAAATACAGCTCACGCTGTCTCCAGAAAGTACCACTCGGGATCCCCAGGGAACAGTTAATGATCCTTCCCAAACCGGAGCCCTGCACGTAGTCTGTTCATGATTAGAATTCAAGAAGTGCCACATTAACAATTAATAGGTTTTAAATATATCAGAAACTGGGGTGGATTACAGCATGCTGGAAAAATAAAATAGTATCTCTCTGTTAGAAAATGAATGCTGCAGGGTAAACCGATCTCAGATCGCCACACAAAATTATCGTCTTCATGGCAGGGAGGGAGGGAGGAAGAAAGAGGGAGAGAGTAATTTGTTGAGGTATATATTAGGAAATGACGCAGCACACTTTGCCCAGTGTGGAGCACCGGTATTTAAAAAACAGTTCTGTAAAACAAAATAACAACAGAAGCTAACAGCTACCACAAATGTACATAAAAATCAGCACTATGCTATTTATGCTATGGGAAGAATTAATAAAGCAATTCACAGTGCTCTGGTAGCCGTAAATAAGTTTAACAGCCTTTTAGTCTAGTTCTCCTATCTCAATTGGTTTAATAAAGAGTTAAATTTAAAAATGTCTTTCCAATAAAGTTGAAGATACTATCTTTTTGCAACAAGTCCCCTTAAAACCACCTGAACTATTAAAGTTAGCAAGGATTAACAGGACTTGGACAAGTTTCAGCGGTAATCTACTACTACTTCTTCTATTTCCCGATTGCAGAACATGCATACAAGGGAAATACTCTACAGCTACTGAGACTGGAAACAACGACCTTCAAAGCAATTAAAAAATGCAAATGTAGCAACAGACAATCCAAAAGCACAGAGGAACTGCTCAACTCCACTGAAGCTCCATCTAGCCTATCGTTTTATTCCCCAAAACTATCATACGTAGTTATCAAGAGAACAGGAACAGCACAAGCATATACAGTATTTCCCCCAACTACTTTCACAAGGTCCACATACTTTTCCCACCAGAAATTTTCCAGAGCCAGGTGTTTTCTGTGTATTTGGCAAATCCCACTGTCTTTCTGTTGCGTAGTCATCCCCTGAGCTGATGTAAAACGTTGCCTTCACTCTTTGCAGTGAGTTCTAATGCCTACGATCTGCTGTGCCAAGAAACAATTACTTTTGTTTAAATGTAGCTCCATGCAACTCAATTTTCTAACACCTGTACCACATTCCAAGTTAATTCTGTGTTGCTCAGTCATTCTGTGCATGGAAAATACTCCATTCCATGACCATCCTTGTTAGCCTTCTCAATTCTGCCACAATTTAGCAAATTCAATCAAATATTTTGAAGACATGGACAGGAACCATATACCATACTCAGGGTGGATCAGTACTGAACTCTGATCTGATATTTTACTGGAATCACTGTTATAAACCTGAGATCTCACTCCCAAGTGTTAATGGCCAATTCATAGCACGTTACTTTCTGTGTGAAGTTTTGTGAAATTTTCCTTGCATGTGCATCACTTTACATTTATCTAGATGCAACTTCATCAACCATTTATTGTCTGGCTTCTCAGTCTCATTAAGGTCTTTCACAGTGTTGTGGTCTTTGTCCTCACTACCTTAGAGAACTTCAGCATTAGCAAACTTCCTCAGCTCACTGGCCTCAGAAGCATCTTTTTGGCATAAGAGGATCCTCATATGCCAATTTAATTTTCTTAAAAATCTTTGGCAAGGGGTTTTGTGAAAACCCTTTTGGTAATTCAAAATATGTCAGTTAAAACATCCTTCTTCACATGTTTTTTGACCCCTACAAACATGTTTGTAAAGACGGATTTATCTTTGAAAAGGCATTATGTTGACACTTTACAGGCTGTTTACAACATGAAATGTCCTCTTATACTATTCTTATTGAGGTTTCTGTTAATTTGCCTGGCAAATATGTCATCCAAAAGCTTATATTTTCCATGGGATGTGTTTTAAAAACTTGCATCAGATTTGCCACCCTTCAGTCCTTAGGTACAAATGCAGTTTTATATGAGCTGTTACACATTATCGTTAATAATTCAACAATTTCATCCTTGAATTCTCTTCTAATTCTTGCTACCAGAAACTCTCCCTGCCCTGCTGTATGTTGTGGTACCACAGATTCTCTTGGTGTCTTCTGAGAACTGAACCAGACCACTAAGAGACATCAAAGTAGACACAGGAAGGAGAAAAAAAAAATGACCAAGTGCATCACGAGAACTCCTTCGGTGAAACTGAAGTTTTAAGTATTTTAAAAGATCTCTTTACACATAGCAGACAGTAAAAACACCAATTTGTGAGCCTCAGAAATAAATTGCACTGATCCTGTGAAGAGGTAAGTTGCTGCAAACAGAAAGGTTAGGTATCATTTCTAAGCCTTTTGTTTAAATGAGGTGACACTACATTGCAAGAAAAGCTAGTTTTTGTGATGTTGGAAATCCAGAATATTTGTATTAGTCTTTTCTCAGGTGTAATCTCCAGTTTCA